TTTTTTTTTGTCTACTATGCTTTTAATTTATTTTTAATCTGTTTTTTAATGAAGAATTTTTTTCACAATAAAATTTCTTCTGTATCTGCTTTTAAAATGTTGCTTCAGGTACATTGCATCAGTGCCTCAGCGGAAGCTCACATATGGCAGCATTTGCTGCTGCTCATTCAGTGCCCGTTTTTGGCCTTGTCGGCTACTATTGGGAACCCGGATGCATTGCACAAATGGCTTGAAGTAACTGAGAACTCAAAAAGTAAAAGGGAACGGAAGGTATTTGTGTTTGATTTGTGATACTAGCATCTCATCCTATTTTTTTCAGGATTGGTATTTGATATTGTTTAAGATATCCTTTAGGTGGAGTTAATTGTCTATAAAGAACGGTACTCCGAACTTGAGCTATTTCTCCAACGGCTATTATCAGATCCTAACGAAACTCTCAGCAAAGAAATGAACAGCAAGAGCTCTACAGCTTTAGAACATTTCATGCCATACGGTGTTTTTAAGCCTACAAAATTAGCAATGTTTGGTATACCTGCTGACCAGCAGCTGACAGCGCGACAAATTCTGGAGTTGTATTACGCACTTTCTGACGTGGATGAGTCTGTGAAGTGGGTCTATGATATGTTAACTACTACAGGGCTAGGTATTGAATACGACTGCTTCCAACATTGGTAAAATTTGGTTTTTCAGGGAAGAATTCGAACCATGTAAATTTTTCGGTCATAAAGAAGGCGAGAAAGACGTTTGGTTAACTAGAGAGCAATTGCGTAATTTTGAGAATGGTTTGAAGAATCGTTTTGTCGAGTGGTTAAAGAATGATAGAGATAAGTTAGACAAGTTTTTGACTCGCATTGGAAGGAATGCTGCAGACGAATTAGAGTGTAGAAGCCATCCTTTTGATCAGGTAATGCAACAGGGAAATGGAGTATTTTAAGTTTTTCCTACTTCAGTTTAATGTAGAAACATTAATTTATCCAACATCTTTGTCTAGCAGCTAGTGCATTAACACGCTGGGGATGGGAAGTGAAGTTATTTGGAAGATG